TGCTCACCGAGTCCCTAGAGCGAGTAGAGTTCACTACGATGCTTTTGCACGTGACAGGGAAAAATGAATGATTTACTGGCGCCCGCTCGAGTCACTCGACGATCAACGGAAGTACAGGTGATTCAGGTGATACAGGTGATTTTATCATTTGATATTACAAGTATTTTGGAGCCTTTGAGAGGAGCTCCATTAAAAAATTTCCGCTATAACTCTTGCAGCAACTGCTATGCACCACACAATGACAATGTATTGTTGCATTTCATCGTTATACTTTTGAGCTTCACAGTTCCTACAGGTCTTTCTTGCATTCCTCAGCTAAACTATTTTGTTGGTTAAACACGATACTTAAAAAAGGAAGAAAAGAAATGGAAGGTTAGGAATGCATGGAAGTCGTGTGAAGTGTTCTCGGATTGGAACGAATGGATTCAACACCGATTGATGTTCTGTTGTAATGTTGTTCATACCTTCATCCACGTAGAACAGGATGATTCGCTTCCCATAGCTATTGATTTTTGCCAGTAGGAGCTTTATTTTGCACTTTCCATTCTCATTCTACAGGTGACTTCCGCGATTTCATGAAACTGTGAGATGAACGGTTTTTACGAGACGTTGGAGAAATGGAAGGTCCCCGACTCTATTGAATGAATGTGAACTTGTCCAATGCAAAAATATTAAGAAAACATAAAATGGAGACAATTATATTTTTTAAAAAAGGTGATGAACGAAGAAGAGAGGAAAGATGAAAACGAAAATGGAAACGGTAGAGAACATGACAACATAAGAATTCATAGCACTAGAGTTGCTTAATTCTCGTGAAAAATGTAAACTTGTCCAAGTGTTTGCTGATGTCGTCACCATATATCGCACAAAATAAAGAAAATACGTGCTGTGGAATCATGAGATCATCGACCAGATCATTTCCATGTGATCAACAAACATATACTAAGGTAGAAAGGGAAACTAAAAATAGAGCCACATCGAATGGAAGGAATGGAAACATGATAAAATAATGCTGACCTACGGAAACGATGGTGAATAAGTTGATTAGTTGACGCATATCGGGATGGAAGACGAACATTATTGCGACGGACGATGACCTCAACGAGCCAAGCAGGAAGGCGGAGCCACGCCGACGGGGGCGGCCGACAGGGCGGCTGCCGTAGGCCGCTAGAGGGCCGACGGCTAACAAGCGTCGACTAGTCGTCGACGGACCGCTGCTGAAGATCTGGGACGGAAGTGCGCGATGGGATTCACCGAGCGAATATTCATCAAGAACTCTCGTCGTATTTCTACCAACTTTCTCCCACACTTCATAGAAGTAGCTGTTTTTATCGGAATAGTTCGGAAGCTCAGGAACACGTGCAATACTTGGATGACTAGGTATTTGTCCGTTCTTCTTCATTATTGCAATTATTTCTTTGCTTTTGTCAAAACTTCCTTGCTCGTTATAGTATTGTCAACTGTATGCTCCGCTGCTCATAATCCGATTACAATGGCCGACTACAAGCATTTATCTTAATGATGACTGCCTGGATAAAGTGTGATCCGGACGAGTGGCCTGAATCCGGACCATGAAAAGCCGATTTAGAAACTATCCTATTCTATACCCTATTGTTAACAATGTTCAAAATTTCTTACTCAATGTGACGAATTACTTGTCTTCTGAAGCCCGCAAGCCTTCTATCCCTCTCTTCCTCGCGTTTTTCTTCGACTGGTTCCCATTTCGGGCAAGGAGACAATCCAACAAGCGACATTTCTTTGCAAAAACACAATGCTCTCCTGGAATTTATCATTATTGGCTTTGGCAGTTATCATGTTTTTCTTGGAAAAGAAAATCCCAAAACGTTCTTTTAATGCTTTGCCAAGCTAAACCAGACATTATGCACACAAATCGTTGGAGCGATAAGGCGAAGTTATTTCTATAGTTTTGCTAAGTACGTAAGCCCTCAATTATTGTTGAAAAAAGCGCTTAACACGTTGAGTAACAACTTTTACAAAATTGAAGAGATGTTTGAAACAGGGATACGTGGAAATGCGAATGTTGCAAGGGAACAGTAGAACCAAGAAAAGAAGAAACACGTTGTAAAGTGGTAAAAGAGCTTCACCTATGGTTGGATTGAAAGGGAGATCGGTGACTGTAGCGAGAACTCCGGGTGGCGGCGGGGGTAGTCCAGTGGGACAAATCCCAAGCGGCGAGCGCGGTCGTTAGCGGAGTTGACAGACTGCTCGACTGGCTTAGGGAATTCAAATATTGTATCTCGGATTCGATGAAGCAAACGTTAAGCATGAGCTCCCTGTATTTGAAAACATCACGCTTTGGTCGAGTCGACGATCTCCATCACATAATGCACTTTATTTATCTTTGAGTTGCTCAGTGTGTACAAGTAATAGGAACACTGCGAATGTTCTTTCGCGTCTGTGGACACGCGTCAGTTGCTTGTTGAATGAGCTAGTATATTCGGAACAGTTGCCCAGCAAACGGTGTCCCAGCTGAGACGATGTCGCCAGAAAGACGACATGTGCATACAAGTGCTTTGACGTAGCTTTATGACTAATCGACAAAAAAGTGGTCGTACTAGATAGAGATTTGTGGAAAATTAGGAAGTACAGTTGTCCAACTAGCTATGTTAGGTGTTTGGTATTAATAACTCATCCGGCAAAAAATGATAGATGGTATTCGTAGGGGTACGACAAGGGTTCTTAGAAAATTTTATAGCGTTTATCTGAAGTGTCATAAACAGGAAGCACAAGTGAAACCTATGAAGGTGCTCGTTCTACTCACAATCCTCATACATACCAATTGAAAGTCAGTTGTAGGCACGAGAATCCTAAAAAGATAGAAATCTCGTCTGGGAACGCATTTCTGTTTGAAAAAGTTCTTCCAAAATTGCTTTTTGATAAGGCAGCCGATTCTTTACCAACAATTATGAGCCTTAGGGAAAAACCGTCCTTTGAATTTTGAAAGGTAGATTTTCTAGCCATTTTCTACAGTCTTATAGAGTATTCTATTCTTAACCAGTAGAGTTTTTAAGAAGTTATAGTGCTTATATATAATATACAATATATCGTATACTATGCATTGTTTAGATATCTATATGTGTCCTCCTATACATTGTGTCTGTCTCTATCTGTATATATACATATGTTTTCGTCTATGTATATATATATATATATATATATTTATTTGTGTGAGAAAAACAATCGAGAACAGGATTCCATGCTCAAACATTCAAATAAACTTTCTGGAAATGAGTACGTTACAAAATGGTGTCGAAAACTAGGTAAAAGCATAGAAGATGGATAAAGTTCTCGGCGTTGATCAATCCCTGAAGAATGCGCCATGCCTTCGACTTCATTAAGCATCGTTTGGAGGTGATTGAATGTATATCTGGCCTTTACAATGACTCGTGGTGGCCTACCGATGTATCGAGCCAGCGCTGCTATCCTCCCAGACAAGTCTGGTACCAATTTGCCGGCTCCGAAGGGATGGAGGGCTTGGTGAGTCTGGGGCGTCAGGATCGATCACATATGTATTGCAAGGCGCCTCCGACCACCCAATATCAGCGTTTGTCTATATA